GACTGAAGCCTGTGGATGTGGCTACGGACTGACACTGTGCCCATTCCACTGGGGAAACTGAGGCTCTGAGTGCGGAGCCCTGGTTGGGGCGGGGCTGGTGCCCACCTGCTCTGGTTGGGAATGAGCCCTCGCTCCTGCTCCCGCAGGTCCCGACCCATGCGGGCTGCCAGCCAGTGGCCCCCACGGGCATGGCTCTGCCCAGAGCCCGGGTACAGCGTGTCGAGCACGTGGAAGACATCACCGCGTGTGAAGCCCAGGCCGGACGGGGGGCTGGGCTCCATCTCGAAGTGCGTGCGGATGTAGAAGGAATCACCCACGCGAGACTGCACCATTTTCCGGAAAACTGCCAGAGACACAGGGAGGTGACGTGAGCTGCCTACCGCTACCTGGGTCCAAGTCCTTCTCAGGGAGTGGGCTGGCTTTGGGGACCCCCACCTCGGAACACGCTGGGGTCCAAGAGCCAGGAGAAGGGAGGAGCAGAGGGCATGGAGGCGTTGGCGGGCACACATTCCAATGTCACCAGCGGGCCACTCGGGCAGGGACACGTCAAGCGTGCACACACAAGCACGTGCATATGAGCGCGCGCACACGCGCACACGCGCACGCACACACGCGCACACACACTCACTGTCCTGTTTCTGCTGCGTCACCAGCTCCAGCTCCTCGCCCGGGGGCAGCCCCAACAGGAACTGCACGGCCTCCTCCCGAGTCAGGTTCCGGAAGGGCGTGTCATTCGCCTGCAGGGAAGGGGGTGCAGGCGCGGAACAGGGTACCTCAGCTGGGCATCCCTGACCCTCCTCCCGCGGGACAAAGCCCACCCCCAGCTGTTTCCCAGGGTCTTGAGGGGCTGGGGTGGGGGACAGCTTTGCAACTGTGGCATTGCCTTGTGACAGCTGGATACTGACACAGGCAGCTGCCAAAATGCAGGTCATGACCCAAGCAACAGGGCTGTGTGCCTACGGCATTGTTTACAAGGCTGTAACTAGGCAACAAAGGTGGGACTCTTGCAAGGTCTGTGTCATGGAGAATTAGGTCATAACAATAAGATTGTGACATGGACCACAAGGTAGTGACTCAGTCAGCAAGGGCCTGACCCAACCATGAGGAGACTCTCTAGTGCTGAAATGACTGTGGGGGTCTGGACATCCCCAGGTGGCCGAGGTGAGGGCACACAGAAAAAGAACCGATAAGAGATATGCATATATCTGTGGCAGACACAGCCACCCTGGGTCACCTGCAGGATCTGGTCGCCCTCCTGGATGCCCTGCCCATCCGCTGGGCTGCCCGCCTGCACCCTAGACACGAAGATGCCCACGTCGTTGCCCCCAGCTAGCCGCAGCCCAATGCTGGCACCCTTGATGAAGCGGACCACCCGCACATCAGGGCTGTACCTGTGATGGGAGCGGAGTGGGTCAGATAGACGAGCCAAGGGGGGTGGCCCCAGGAGAGCCCATGCTCCTAGGCCTCAGTTTCCCAATCAGCTCCACATGGTGGTCCTACCAAACCCACGGGTGCAAGAAGACAGGGTGACACCAGACTGGGGAGGAAGCTGGGATGTGGGTGTCTCGGGTTTTGGGCGCACATACCCATGATCCTGCACGCCCTGGCCACTGGGCACCCGGTAGATGTCATAGCTGCTCGCCCGAGGCGAATCTGAAAGGAGAAGCCCGTTGTGTCTGGAGCACACTGGCTCAGCCAGCTCCCAAACCTTTGCTCTAGCATGTTCGGTGGTTAATCTGGGTCCACTTGTCTTAGCTCCAGAAGGCTGGCAGTTCAAACCCACTAGCCACTCCATGGGAGGAAGATGGGGCAATCTACTTCTGTAAAGATTTACCACCTCAATGGCGCTGAGTTTGGTTAAGTTTGGTTTGGTGTGTATACATATGCAAAACAAAACAAAACAAACCCACCACCACGAGTCAATTGCAACTCACAGTGACTCACTGGGTTTCTGAGGCTGTAAATCTTTACAGAAGTAGATTGCCCCATCTTCCTCCCGTGGAGTGAGTTGCTGGTGGGTTTGAACCACAGGCTTTCTGGTTAGCAGTCAGCTAGCTGCCTTAGGCATTGTGCCACCAGAGCTCCTTGTACATATATACACAAGTGTCTAAGGGATCTGACTGGTAACCAGAAGGTTGGTGGTTCAAACCCACCAGCCATTCCGTGGAAGCAAATCTGGGCAATCTACTTCCGTAAAGATTTACCACCTCGGAAACCCAGTGGGGCATCGCTATGAGTCAGAATCGACTCGATGGCAGTGGGTTTAGGTTTTTGGTGGGGTTTTTTTGGTATATAACATATATATATTGCAGTGGCTAAGGCATTCGGCTGCTAACCAAAAGGTTGGCAGCTTGCACCCACCAGCTGCTCTGCAGGAGAAAGATGAAGCAGTCTGCTTTCGTAAAGATTGACAGTCTTGGTATACCATGGTATCCACAGCCTATAGGACTATGAGACCAGAAGAACTAGAGGTGCCCGGCTACCACTGTCAACCACTCAGAGGTGGGGAGCTACATAGGAGATCCTGGATAGAGAGGGAGAACAATGTGGAACAAAACTCAAAATCATTTGGGGAAAAAAAAGGGGGGACCAGGTCTGATAGAGCCTGGTGGAACCACTGAGACTATGGTCCCTAGCTGCCCTTCAGGGGAGCCACACCTGTGGCTTCCAGCCAAACAAAAGACAGGCATATGAGTTGAACATTTACCTGAGGTAGATACACTCCTTGGAGAGAACAATCATGGGAGAAAGAAGGGCTGTGTATGCACAGGGAGACAGCTCAGGGGGCAGGGGTGCATGGAGGGATGGACACAGGGAAGAGGTGACTGTTAGGAGGAAGTGGGAGGGGAGCTGTTGCATTGGGGTAAACTGTGGTCAATGTCCTGAGACAAAGTGTATGTGAACTGCTGTATGAAAAATGAGTTTGCTCAGTAAATTTTCACAATTAAAAAAAAAAAAGATTGACAGTGTTGGAAACCCTCTGGGGCGGTTCCACTATGTTTTTAAGGTTGGAATTGACGTCATGTGGTGGGTTTTTTTATGTATCTTATTGGTTCTATGCATATATCTGCACGTTGTTGGTACCGTATTTTTCACATATAACGAGCCCATGTAAATAACATGTATGCACATACAATGTGTATAGTGCACATATGAAACTAACATGCAAGTGATTGTGCATTAAATGTACAGTATTTGCCATTGAGTCTATCCTGACTCACAGCGACCCCACGTGTACAGAGCAGAACTGCTCCATGGGGCTTTCAAGGCTGGGACCTTTCAGAAACAGATTGCCAGGCCTTTCTTCCAAGGTGCCTCTGGGTGGGTTCAAATCGCCAGCATTCCATTTAGTAGTTGAGCACTTAACCATCTGTACCACCCAAGCTACCTCTAGAAATACGGCTCATGGGTCCTGTATATGCACGTGTGTTTTTATCTGTAGACGGAGAAAAACAAACCACTGCTGTCGTGATGACTGAAGCCCACGGTGACCTCACGGGTGTCCGAGTAGAACTGTGCTCCTTAGGGTTTTCAATGGCTGGCTGTTTGTTGGGAAGGAGATCACCAGACCTTTCTTCCTAGGTGCTTCCAGGTGGGCTCAAACTGCCAATCTTTTCGTTAGTCATCATGTGCTTACCCATATATCCTTTACTGGTTTGTTGCTCTGGAGAAACGCGTCCTTCCCCATGGAGCACTGTCACTCAGGCCTTGCTCCTTCTAGGGGAACCTAGCTCACACCAACCTCTTCCCCCTCTGCCTTTCTCAGCCTCAGAGATGGAATCAGAAAAATCTAGGGCAGTGACTCACCACCCGCCCGCCTGCCCGCCAGCTCCTCACCTGGCTCTGAGACAGTTCGGGAGTCCACCGACGGCTCTCGCTGAAGCTGGGGCCTCTCCCTGGTGGGAAACCAATTTGAGGTGAAGAAAAATCGTGTGATGTGCTAAGTACTGACTGTTAATTTAGCCTGAGAGGTCTTGGGGGGGTGCTTTGCTACGCAGCCATAGCTAACGGATACAATCCCTACCTCACAGGCTGCTGGAGGCTTAAAGGAGAGACCTGTTACCCAATCCCCAAGGTCTGGGCTTTTAGGCTAGGGCCATGTTTCCCTTTATATAAGCCTCACTGTCATGAGCAAACATGCCCTGAGCTAACTCCCCATACATATTGATGAATTCCTCAAAGCGCCTTGCTGGGTCCAAGGGACGGCACATTTTGAAGGCTTCTGGGATGTGTGGTAAGAGTCAGCCTCTTCTGCTTTGTGGTTGATAGGTGCCATCAAGTCAATTCCAGCTCATATCAGCCCCACATAACAGAGTACAGCTGCCCCATAGGGTTTCCTAGGCTGTCATCTTTACAAAAGCACATCAGCGGGTCTTTCTCCCATGGAGCTGTTGGGTGGGTTCGAACAGCCAACATTTCGGTTAATAGGTATGTACTTTAAGTAGATCCATATCTGGTTCTGCCAGAAGTCAGAACCCAGGGCCACGTACTGAGGGGAAAGGAAGACTATATGGGACAGTAGAGGGAGGGCCTCTTCCAGCCAGGCCACCAGGACTGCACCCCCAAGACAACCCTCAAAGCCTCTGTTCCCACCTACCCCAACAAGGGTACATACACAGGGGAGGTGGTCCGGCTGGAATCTGGGCTCTGCTGCCTGTGCCGGGGTGGTGGAGGGATATGCGAGGGTGGTGCCTGAGACAGTTCCGAGCCCAGGTCTGAAATGTCTGTGGGGAAGAAAGTGACTCATGAACCACAGTTTGTGCCTTTAAACGGGACCCATTTTTCAGAGGGGAACATCAAGGTCCAGCTAAGCAAACAATCCTGGGCCAAAGTTGGAGACTCGGCTTTGGGAAGCTCTGGCCCTAGCTTGCTGTGTGGCCTTAGGCAAATTCCTATCCCTCTCTGAACCTCAGGGGTCAAGGAGACCTGTTTCTCTAAGTGCCAGGCTTGCTGATTCCTGCTTGGCCTTTCCTGGCTTTCCCTGCCTTCCCTGCCCTCCATTCAAGCCCCTTTTGGGAACTGCCTTCTGACCCCTCACCCTCCAAGAGGGAGCTGTCACTGTCGCTGACCGCGGGCGGGATGTTCACCAGGAACTGCCAGTGGTCTCTGAGCACCAGCAAGGTGAGCTTCCCTTCCGATTTCTCAATCAGCCGTCGTGTAGCACTCAGCGACAGATTCTCACTGGACACTCCGTTGATCTGCAGGGACCAGAATGGAAGAGAAGAGGCAAGTTAATGAGAGATGGGGTTACTTGAAACAGATAACTCAGTGAGTGGAGGGACTAGAAACACACAATCCCCAAAACCAAAAAAAAAAAAACTCACTGCCATAGAGTCGATTCTGACTCATAGTAACTCCCATTGGGTTTCGGAAGTGGTAAATCTTTACAGAAATAGATTGTCCCACCTTCCTTCTGCGGAGCAGCTGGTGGGTTTGAACTGCTAGCCTTCTGGCTAGCAGTCAAATGCCTTAGGCACTGTGCCAAAAGTACATACTGCCTAGGGAATATGTTAAGGGCTCTTCATGGTGCAATGGTTAACCCCTGGGCTGCTAACTGAAAGGTTGGCGGTTGAACTCCCCAGTGGCTTTGCAAAAGAAAGAGACCTGGTAATCTGCTTCCTTCAAGATTGCCATCAAGGAAACCCTGTGGGGGTAGTTCCACTCTGTCCTCTAGGGGCGCTGTGAGTCGGAATAGACGCCACCGCAGGGGGTGTGGTTTGCGCTTTGCTTCCACAAAGATTGACAGCCTTGGAGACCTTGTGGAGCAGTTCCACTCTGTCCTCTAGGGACGCTGTGAGCCTGAATCGATGTCATGGCAAGGGGGTGTGGTTTGGGCTTTGCTTCCTCAAAGATTGACACAGCCTTGGAAACCCTGTGGGGCAGTTCTATGAGGTCGCTATGAGTTGGAATTGACTCACCAGCACATACCAACAAGGAAAATGTTAGAAATAGATTCCTGTAATGAGTAAAGATGATGCTAAGAATTGATCCTCCACGAGAATTCTAGAAACAATATTCTAAGAAGGGGTGGAGGGCACCAGGGAAAAATTAGAAACAGGATGACTTTTTCTTCTTTTCTACAAGGCAGCACATCTCAGGAGACAGTACGAACAGGTCTGACAGTGATATGAGAAGCACTAATTCCTGGAAAGGGCTGAGTGAGAAGGGACATGTTCTTAGTGTGTCTCCACTCACAGCAGGAATCCATTTCTTACCTTTTCCCTAGGAAGTGTCTGTTTTCAGTAACCACTGGAAATTGTACATTTCTAATCCTCCGCTCTGGTAGTGTAGTGTCTAAGGCATGTGACTGCTAACCAGAAGGCTGGCGGTTCAAACCCACCAGCCACTCCTTGGAAGGAAGGTTGGGCAATCTACTTCCATAGTGATACTGCCTCAGAAACCCAACAAGGGGTCGCTATGAATCGGGTCCGACTCAAGGCACATAACAACAACAAATCCTCCCACCAAGGGAGACACTGTTTCTAGTGTCTGCTCCAAACCACTGCCCAAAGCCATTAGAAACTGGCAGTTCCTCAGGGTCACTAGAAACAGCTAACTCTGAAGATACAATAGAAACAGTTAACTGGAAATCAAATATCGGGAATCACTGGAAATAGACTTTCAAGGGAAGAACTTAGAAAGAAAGGGGCCCTAAGAGAGGGCAGCTCCTGAAAGCCTGGTCTCGGGTCGTTAGCATCTGAAGCACCTCAGGTGGGCCTTCCTGAGCCAGCTCTGCAGCCAGCTCACCAAGCTTGAGGACACGAGCCCAAGGGGATACTAGAAACCAACATCTCCAATCTCTGATACAAGCCCAAGGGGATACTAGAAACCAACATCTCCAACCTCTGACACAGGCAATACAGAAGCAAACGGCTCAGCAAGATTTCTGCTGGAGTTCCATGTGACTCAGTGGCACCGTCGCCTCTGGCCTTGGTCTCCCCACCCCTCTGGATAGGCAGGCCCACACCCACCTGTAGGATAAGGTCTCCCTCCTGCAGCCCGCGGTTCCGGGCGGCCAGGCCCGAATCTGTGATGTGCTTGATGAAGATCTGGCTGCCCAGTTTGACCCCGAACTCTGTGGAGGGAGGAGGAAAACTGAGGCAAGGCCCAGGCCTCCCAGAACTCATCCTCCTCACCTGCCCTCATCCCACCTGCCAGGATGACCTCCCATCCCAAGATCTTTAATTAATCCCATCTGCTAAGTCTCTTTTGGGAGTTCTGGTGGCATAGTGCCTAAGGCACTTGACTGCTAACCAGAAGGCTGGCGGTTCAAACCCACCAGCCACTCCTCGGAAGGAAGGTTGAGCAATCTACTTCTGTAGAGATACCGCCTTGGAAACCCAAGGAGGGGTGGCTATGAGTTGGGTTTGACTCCATGGCACATAACAACAACAAGCTAAGTCTCTTTTAGAAGGCGCTCTGGTGGCACAATAGCTAAGTACTCGGCTACTAACTGAAAGGTCAGTGGTTCAAACCCACCAGCAGCTCAGCAAGAAAAAGACCTGGTGATCTGCTTCCATAAAGATTACAGCCTAGGAAACTCTGGTCACTATGAGCTGGAATTGACTTGACAGCAAACAATCACGACAATCAACAATAGCAACAAGCAGCACAGAATCAACTTGATGGCAAACGACTGCTGCCATCACTAACCACCAAACACCACCCCCCCCCACAATCACCACCACCATCCAATAACACCAACCAAGCACCA